GGGAAAAAAAACGGGCACACGGATCCGACCGTGAAAATGGTTGGATAGATTCCCCTAAGTGTCAGTGTGTTGAGCGTTAAAATCCTTTGACAAAACACAGCTTGAGCAAATAACGGACTCCGCCCTGCCTTATTGGCAGGGAACTCGTAAAAAAAACACGACAAATAAAAAAAAAAAAACAATAACATTCATAATGTGATCGCCTAACTTGTAAGGTGCATTATGTGGAGGAAGATTATGAGCACGACCTCCTAGACTACCCTGCCTGATATCATTGCAGTAGAGAAAACATTTTCTTATTTTTCTTTTTCCTTTCACTCGCGGCACTATAAAACTCAAATTTATGGGACATTGCCGACCCTATGTCCCAGCCCGATTTCTTCGAAAACTGGCAAAACCTCGTAATTTCCCAACATTGGTGGAGGTACTAGTGGCTTAATGTTTTTTATAATTTTTTTTGACATTTGTCATGAAAAGACCATGACCTAATCTATGGATTCACAAATTTTCAGATCTTTATGGGAATTCCTCCGAACACAAAAAATCGCCAAAGTTGCCTCTTGCAAATTGTGGGACTGGACCCGCCGGTACTCTCCGCCTTGGACAGCCTGCGTCACGTCGTCTCGAGTTTGAAACGTTCAACGTTCAACTCGAGGACCTCGGCCTCCTCGGGCTCGTATGGGCAGCTACCAGTCCTACTCAAGCAAGAACTGCCCATTCCCCATGAATTGCCCCTCCAACAAATTCACCATCCTTCGGACCCGAATGGACGACCGGTAGGACCAAAAGACGAAAAAATGATTCAGGGGTATAAAATGCACCCCTTACGGGCTTGGAACACCCCACATCCCCATTCAATTGCGCAAAGCACCTTCGAACGCACTTTTGCACAAACTTATGCGTGTTGTTGAAATGCAAACAGTCACTTTGTGTTTGTCCTGGGAGTGGATGAAGAAGTCATGGGAAACTCTAGCATCGTGCACACAACCACGCAATCTGAGATTGAAGTCAAGGGTGCATAGATCCATATCTGAGACGTGGTAGTCTGCGTCCAATCCATTGTCTGGTTTCTTGACGAAGAAATGAGTGCAGTTCGCAGCCCGTCAGGGATGCGTTTTCCCCCCCTGAGACATTCAACGTTCAACGTCAAATTTCAACGTCGTGGTCGTTGGGAGTGTGGTCATTTTTTGGTTTTGGGGCCTTGCAAGGGCCAGCACCGCGTAAGACCAGTAGTTGCGCGGTCCAGGACCGGTAGCTGCGAGGAGGAGGCCGAGGAGGCCGCAGTCCTTTTTCGAAATTGAAACGGTGCGGGTAGTCGTTTTTCGAAATTGAAACGGTGCGAGTAGTCGTTTTTCGAAATTCAAACGGTGCAGGTCCTACACGTTATATTCGAATACAACATGTACTGTACCCTTTCTATTCGGATTTCGAAAAGAAAAAACTCTTGTATTCCGATAAAATTACTTCTTCTTTTTGTTGGAGGTCAGCGCCTGCCTTTGTGCTCCCCGCC